TTTTTTTTTTCTGGGTGTTTGTTGTTTGTGCCTTTTGGTTTGTTTGTTTTGTTGTGTTTTCTTCCCTTTTTCTTTCTTTCTTTCTTTCTTTCTTTCTTTTTCTTTCTTTCTTTCTTTCTTTCTTTCTTTCTTTCTTTCTTTCTTTCTTTCTTCTTTCCTTTCTTTCTTTCCTTCCTTCCTTTCTTTCTTTCCTTCCTTTCTTTCCTTCCTTTCCTTTCCTTCCTTCCTTCCTTCCTTCCTTCCTTCCTTCCTTCCTTCCTTCCTTCCTTCCTTCCTTCCTTCCTTCCTTTCTTTCTTCTTTCTTTCTTTCTTTCTTTCTTTCTTTCTTTCTTTCTTTCTTTCTTCTTTCTCTTATTCCTCACTGTCATTCTTGCTCTCTTTTCTCTTTCCTAATGATCTTTTCTCTGGTGGCAAAAAGCAAGTAATAATAACCTTAAACATAAATGGATTAAATGCTCCAATCAAAAGACATAGGGTAGCTGAATGGATAAGAAAACCTGAACAATATATCTGCTTGTCTACAAGAGACCTACCTCAGAACAAAGGACTCACACAGACTGAAAGTGAAGGGAGGGTAAAAAAAATTTTTTTTTCAGGCAAATGGAAATGAAAAATAAAGCTTGGGTAGCAATACTTATATCTGATAAAACAGACCTCAAAGAAGAGGCCATAACAAGAGATAAAGAAGGCCACTTCCTAATACTACAGGGATCTATACAACAAGAGGCTATAACTTAGGTAAACATATATGCACCTGTGGTCCCTCCCGGCCCTGATCATGCGCAGATGAGGTCCCTTGGCCTGGCCAGGGCCCTCTCGAAATTTGGGCTGAGGGACCCCCTTCCCCCGAGTGCATGAATTTTGTGCACCAATCCTATACTCTTAGATAAGTAAATATATAATCACCCCCATCCCAAAGGGTAGAGAGATTCGTTTAGGGACAGTTTCTTCAAATCTTTGCTATTTAAAAAACTCTTGGACATGGAGAAAAAAAGACAGATGGGCTGGTTCCAAGCAGTCCTGCCCAGGACAAGGGGGCCTGTGCCCCAGTCCTGACCCAGCTACCCTTTTGGGGAGAGGGTGGCTAGTCACCCAGTCAGGCCCACAGCACTCAGCCAAGCCATAATGATTCACGCTTGGGTAGCTGCCTTCATCCCCTCGGCTTGATTGATCCATTTTCTCCCATCTCAGAGGAAGAATGCTCCTGTCCACCCTTCTAAGGGACTGTGGGGACACTGAGGAATGGGGGTGTGTGTTCCCAGCCCAATCCTCACTTGGATGAAGTTAGGGATAAAGCAGCTGGGAGCTAAGGCAAAGGAGAGGCTGGGTGACTTCTGTCCTGGAGAAAACAGGACCCCAGGGGTGGGCGCCAGGGAATGGGGGGCCCTTGGCCATCCCAGTAGATATGCTGAGGGCCCAGAAAGAGGAGTTCTTTGTTTGAGGTGGAGGCTGGAGGGGGAGGTGTTACTCTGAGGAGTGGGTGGTAGGTCTTGGGAGCCCTCAGGGCCTTTGGAGGTCAGATGCCTCCAAGGTTCGGCTTGGACACGGGGCTCAACCAGGTTGCTCCAGGCCCCTCCGTGGCTGGCCTAGGCCACGGACTGGAGACTTCTGGTCCCTGTGCGAAATGACACTGTCAGCGACACACCAAGGGAGCTGGGTCTCCCATCTGGTGACTTATCCCGGGGACTGAATGGGCTGTTGATGGCTCCTTGGAGATAATTATTCTTTTTTTGGTTAATCCTCAACTGAAGATATTTTCCCATTGATTTTTAGAGAGAGTGGAAGGGAGGTGAGGAAACAGAAACATAGATGTCAGAGAATCACATTGATTGGTTGCCTCCAGTACACACCCGGACTAGGATTGGGGAACCTGCAACCAGGTACGTGTCCTTCACTGGAATCGAACCCTGGACCTTTCAGTCCCGGGGCTGATGCTCTATCCCCTGAGCCACACCAGCCAGGCCTAGAGATGGTTGCTCTCAATGCAGGTGACAGTGGGCTCAGCGCTCCAGGGAGGCGAAAGTGATATTGATCAGACAATGACACAGTAACCCGGACTCCAGGCAGATGGCACCCAGGGCACCGCATAGGGACAGAAGGAACCACCCCGCAGCCCATGGGCCTCTTCCTCCCAAGGCGGGACCCTGGGTCTGTTTGCACCCCCACAGGCGCCTCTTGGAGCGTCCCTTACCCAATTGCTCCAGAGGGGGGCACTGTTGCCTGTGAGTGAAACCAGGTTAAGTCCCATAAGCACAGATGAGTGGTGCCCAACTCCCCACCCACAGCCATCATAAAGCCGGGCGCATCTCAGGCTGCAGACGACCAAAAGCATGCCCCGCACCTCCGACCTTGTCCCCGGGCCCAGCTTCCTAAGCACTATGGAAAGCAGTGTTGTCAAGCAACCACTGTGCTGGTGCTGGAGTGACCCAGCAGAGGCTGTGCCCAGGTTGCGGGCTCCATCCCCAGTAGGGGGCGTGCAGGAGGCAGCCAATCATTGATGTTTCTATCTCTTCCTCTCTGAAATCAATAAAAAATATTTTAAAAAGTAAATAAAAATCAACTTTGTTTAAAAGTATATATATGTGTGTGTGTGTGTGTGTGTGTGTGTGTGTGTATACATGCATGCATGGAAGGGAGAAAATGCACAATGAGCTAAATAGGGATTTCAGGCAGCACCCACATTTAGGGACATATTTTGTGCAGCACTTGGTGAGTGTGGCCACACAATTTATATCCAGGGAATGAATGAAACTATGGAGCAGAGGAAGGAAGGATAGGAGAACCCAGGAGAGACATGGCTGCTTAGGTTTGGAAAGTTAAGAATGTCCCAATGACGGACTCCTGGCCACCTCTCCCCACCCTGCTTCACTCCCCAGCTTCTCCTCAGGCACCTCAAGTCTGTGCCTCTCTCCTTGCTCCAAAGCCCCGAGAAAGTGTTTGCAATAGAAAAGTCCTGTGTTCTGCATTTAGAGAATAAAAGCAAAGACAAAGCAAAACCAAAACAACGAAACTGCTCTTTGGTCTCTCCCCAGCACCATGCTGTTTGGGCAGCTTTTCATGGGGCAGCCTTTTGGGGCTTTTGCCTTTGGTCCAGTTTCCCTGGCAGCCAACTACCCTGTGGCTTTTCCTTACACAGTTGGGTGTTACCCAAATCGTGAAGGGACACAGCTTTGGTGCAACACAGGTTTCTCCTCACCCTCTTGGTCCCTGGTGGCCGTCACTCTCAAGCCCACTTCCTAGTTCTTGCCGTTCTCCTGGCGTCCTCTGTACTTCCGTCTTGTAAAATATGCTGCATCCAATTTGTTAATACCAGGTGGATGTACTTTGATTTAGTTGTATTTCCAGTCTGGCTCAGAATGAGATGTACAATAACCTCTGCCTATTTGGACACCATTTATTTCATTTTTATTTTTTTTACCACTTTTTGATTTCTGCTGATAAAACCAGCCAGAGTGACCTCCCTACAGCTCACAAATGCACAGGGCAGGCTCCCTGCAGACTCCCACCTGGAACCTGACCCTCCTTCCCAGACTTCCTCAGTGAAGACCCCACTGACCAACGCCGGTTTCACCTCCTCCCCTACAGCTGCTGTCACCTGTCACAGGTATCCTGGTCCATTCTCTGTGGACTGTCCTCCACTAGATGCCAGTTCCCAAGGAGAGGACACTTGGTATTTGGGGAATCTGGAACAGCTGGGCTCAAAAGTATCCACAGCCTCAGTCTTTATATGTGTCCCTTATGCATAACCATGGCTGCTGAGCCTCCATCCAGCCTGATTCAAGGTCTCATCTCTACGGCCTTCCCTCAGCCCACACACTCAAGGAACCTGGCCCATGAGCTGGCAGAAACACGATCACAAGCACCCAACCTCTCTGTTCCTCAACCACACACCCCAGCAGCACACTATTTCCCAGAATCCAGGAACTATCACCTCATTTAAGATCTCCCATGCACAGGCAAAACTAATGGGGGGGCACACCAACCACAACTCATCCTCTGAATGTGGAATTATACTGAGACCAAGACTCTCCTTCTGGAAACGCTTATATTGCAGAATGTTCTCACCACTGAAAATACACAGCACTATATCCTAGAGAACCCATGCTACCTCCAGAAGTGGCTTGGTGATGGGGTGGGGAAGAGGTATGCTATACTTTTGATAAAATCAAAGTCGAAAATAATCCCCAAAATGCAAAAAAAGAGACTCAAAAACTAGTGGGTCAAAGGACTGTGAATGGGTTTGCAGGAGGAAGGATTTTCTAAAGGTGAACTCATTTGGGGGCCCCTAGCATCATGGGGATTCTCCCAGATACAGAACTAAGTTCATCTGCAGCAGGACAGGTGCCTGGGGGATGGGGAAATGCAACCTGGAGAGACCTCTGGATAGAGACAGAAGAGTCTCAACCAGCATATCTCAGGCAGACACAGAACCCAAATCCCCATCAGGGCCTTGCCTGGGGCTCCTCTCTACCAAACCCTCGGAAGGGCACAGTGAGCCCAGCTGCAGTGGGAACAACCAAGGCAAAGGCAGGAAAGAGTGAGTGCAGGCAGAGGCCCCATCTCAGGGCACCAAGGTGAATGTATGATTTTTTTGGAATCCTCATCTGAGGATATTTTTCCATTGATTTTTAGATAGAGTGCAAGGGAATGGGGCGAGGAAGAGAGAGATTGAGAGAGACATCAATGTGAGAGAGAAGAAAAAATTAGATGCCTCCTACATAGCCCCATATGGGCCGGGATCAAACCTGCAAATTAGAACCACAAAGTCATGCAGTCTTTCTTTCAAGGACTTGGGCAGCAATGCACTATAAGCCAACATTGGTCAAAGAGTGATTTTATGGCATTATGCTGTCCCTCCTAAAGCACATAAAGGTTGGGAACGACACAATATCTGTTAACTCTACCATGAGAGATCACACAATTGTGATTCAAAATCATCCCTGGAAGTGAATATAACCAAAAAAATTAAAGGTACTAAAGAAAAAATACTTTTACTAAAAGATCACAAACCAGAACAGATGACAGAAAGCGGGTTGGTAAATTAGAACCTGGAACAATTCATCACAGCATAATGTGAGAACCACATGTCCCTGACAGAGGCAGCACTTCTTAGCTGAGGATGGGTGCCCTGGATGAACCTTGGGTCAGGTGCATTACCTCCTTGGAGATAAATGAAGATCTTGCCAGGAGTGGAGGGATCATAATGTTCTCAAGCACAAGTGACAACATAGAATGCATTTCCCCTGAGCACGCTGGGGTTGGGACTGATACACAGTTTTCAGGTGAGCCAGGTGGCAGAGGTACAATCTCTTCAGCCACAATTCAATCGGGTAGTAGATCTGGGCAATGAACTGCCTTCAAGCTTCATTTGTACTGGAAACATATAGGAATCTAGAAGAGTGCATGTTCCATTAAAAGGGGTTTAAATTCAGGAAAATAGGTCGGAAAAGGGTTTGCTTCAGTGTTGTTATTTTAAGTGAGAAAAATAAAACGTTCCGTCAACATTTAACACTTCTCTCCAATGTGAACTCTGATATGTTTAATAAGGTTAGACTTTTGGCTAAAAGACTTCCCACAGTCAGTACACTCATATGGCTTCTCTCCAGTGTGAACTCTGAGGTGTACAGTGAGCTGAGCCCTTTGATGAAAGGACATCCCACATTCTCTACAATTAAATGGCTTTGCTCCAGTGTGAACTCTCTGGTGTTTAAAGAATGTACTTCTTTCACTGAAGAACTTCTCACATTCAGTACACTCATGTGGCTTCTCGCCAGTGTGAACTCTGAGGTGTCTAGTGAGGTGAGCCCTTCAACGAAAGGACATCCCACATTCTCTACACTCATAAGGCTTCTCTCCAGTGTGAACTTGGAGGTGTTTATTGAGTGCACTTCTGTCACTGAAGAGCTTCCCACATTCAGTACATTCATGACTTCTCTCCAGTGTGAACTCTGAGGTGTCTAGTGAGGTGAGGCCTTCGATGAAAGGACTTCCCACATTCTCTACACTCATATGGTTTCTCTCCAGTGTGAACTCTGAAGTGTTCAGTGAGGCGATACCTTTGAGGAAAGGACATTCCACATTCAGTACATTCATATATCTTCTCTCCAATGTGTACTCTGAGGTGTATAGTGAGGTGAGCCCTTCGAGAAAAGGATATCCCACATTCTCTACACTTATAGGGATTTTCTCCAGTGTGAACTCTCTGGTGTTGTTTGAGGTAAGACTTATCACTGAAGGACTTTCCACAATCACAGCACTCATATCGCTTGTCACCACTGTGAACTCTAAGGTGTCTAATAAGGTTATGTTTTAGGCTAAAAGACCTCCCACATTAGGTACACTCATATGGCTTCTCTCCAGTGTGAACTTTGACGTGTTCAGTGAGGTGAGCACTTTGACGAAAGGACTTCCCACATTCTCTGCAGTCATACAGCTTTTCTCCAGTGTGAACTCTGAGGTGTACAGTGAGGTGAGCCCTTCGACGAAAGGACTTCCCACATTCTCTACACTCATACAGCTTTTCTCTAGTGTGAACTCTCTTATGTCGATTGAGGTTAAAGATTTGTCTAAAAAGTTTCCTACATTTGTTACACTCATAAAGCAGTTCTCCAGAACACACACCCGGGCACTGAACAACTTTCAGGTAGTGGCTTGCAGCAATTTCACATTCACCCCACTGGTGATGACTTTTTCCCCTGTGAAATTCCTGTGAAATCTCACGGCCACAGGGTAGCTCCTCAGTGTTGATAGTGGTGTGGTGCTTAGGAATATCAGAGTTGTATTGCAAGTCTTCCCCATACTCCCTGCTGGTTGAAGGCACCGTAGATAAGTAGAGGCTGGAACTGCTCACAAAGGAAGCCCTGTCCATAGCTTGTTTCCAGGGCTCCTCTCCACATTCATTCCTCTGTTTCTGTTGAGGATTTGAACTGAAACAGAAGTCTCCAACACATACATCAGTACAGAAGGCTTTCTGCTCAAAATATGTTACATGAGATCCAGTCAGGTGCAAAATACCTTTTAACACAGAGAAACACCACTTACACAGAGGGATCTTCTGGGTGGCTGGAGCTGTCTTAGAAGCCCTAACCTTTGACTCTCCTTTTATAGCTACACTCTGATCAGAACAGGCCTCATCACCATCGATTTTATGCCAACAACCTGAAAAGTGAGAAAGGGTAAGGAAATGAATATTGAATGTAGTGACTGGGGGAAGTTCCGTTACAAAAGTGTGTTACATATCACACGTTGGTTCCATGCAATTGTCTGAAAATAAGAGATGTGCAGGAAGGATTAATAAGAGGCTCTTGTGACTTTCTGCGCTAATGAAGATCACAACACAGGGAGGCCTCACCAGAAATATGACAAACATGGCAAGCACCACATGGATTAAAATATGGATCTCCAGCTAATCCTTCAACTAACAAAATTCAGCAAAGCTTGTCTGCTGGGGACTGGGGCGAGCTGTGCACGACATTGGCTCCGTCTTACTCCAAGTAAAATTCAATAAAGGAGTAGCTAGTTTTGAGGACTACTTAGCACATATGTGCATGTCATAACACACACGCAAGTCAATGTTGCAGAATACTGCAGAGTCAACAATGCAGAGAAACAGCTGATGAAGAAGTGAGCGGTCAGTACTGGGCCAAAGCAACACTAATTGCTACAGTATTCAGGGAAGAAGATATTACAAACATCTGAATGGGGGCCTTACAAGAACAGCCCATGGTTCATGTATGTAAAGATCATAACATGGCACAAACTGCTACAAAGAACCTTTACCTAGAGAAAGAGTGCAGAAGTTGAAGTCATGCATGTGGACACTGTCAGCCTCCCATGAAGAGAAAGTGCAAGCTGGGACCCATTAAGCTCACTGCAAGATTCCTGAATTTCAGTTTCCTATACTTTTTGAGGTAACAGATGATAGGGATGTTCCTGGAGTCCTTTGCTCAGAGCTCCCCATCCAGTTCATCCCTGGCAGCCACACCATATTTAACAGAACAGTGGGGGAAAGTAGCAGAGGCCATGTTCTGGCTGTGGGAGAGAGAAAGCTATGGCTGAGGAATAAAGGAAGTGAGGTCGTCACCCCAGAACACTGGGAGAATGTGAAGGTCTTACCTACAGATGACACAAGTGCAAACACTTCCAGCATCACATTGCAGTACAGAAGTCTCTGAGTCTCATCAAGGATCCCCCATTCTTCCTGAGAGAAGGCAATGGCCACGTCCTCAAAGTTCATATCCTGTCATAATGGGGACAGTACAGCCTATGATCAGATTCACTCCTAAGTTTATAAGTTGTCATACTCCCCATCCTCCACACCCATCTTCTCTTTCCACTCTTCATATTATGTTAAATACCAAGCTTTCATCCTATGAAAGTCACTATCTTATATTTCTGCTGATATTTTTCTTCCCACAACAATTATGGCACTTGAGCAGATTGAAGATACCTGAGCTTTGGAACTCCCATGTATACCACACTGCTCTTATCAATAGAGTGGGTGTCAAAAACAGGTTAGAGAGGGATGTTGGCCATAAAGAGAGTGTGAGTGATTTGATACTGGTCTCTTCAGGAAATAGACTTGTAGTCCTTCTGATTGTTCCTTGAAGACACCAAAAACATGGCATCACTCTTCATCAGCTTGATCCCAACCCCAAGGTATGAGGCCGTCGCTTTCCACTACCTGCTGCACATAGTTCTTTCAACAACACTTCTCTCACACAGCTTCTTTCCCAGAGGCACAACATCAAAGGTAATGTAAATTTTCCATGGCGTGGATAATTTTTTTTCTAATCACCTTCCTTTCCAAAATTACAGTTCACACAACCTCCATAATCCATTTCTCTCTTACCCTTCTTCCTTACCCGTGGTAGTGGAGATTTACAGGACTGGGTAACACTGATGAATGCTATCTCATTCCCATCAACCAGTGTGTCACTCCCAACAAAAGGCAGGTGGATAGTTAAATGGCACCTAAGCTCTTAACCTAGAATGTAGCACCCAAACACCTCTCTCTACAGGCAATTATCCTAAAATTCACCTTATTGTTACATCCAGGGACCACCATAAATAGACTCTTCCTTCATTCACTCTT